CTTTCCACCAAGCCAAACATAAATTATCCGTTTTTTCAACGAATTTTTTTTCTCCATTATTTGATGACACTTATATGAAACCTTGCTTCATATGAAGACAGCTTTTGAAATTAATCAGCAATTTCCTTCTGAATTAAACGACTTCTAAATCTTAATAAACATAATAGCTGAACACCTGAAATTTTGAGTGAAGTTTAGTTATATACAAATTACTGAGCAAGCTTCAGCTCATTTAGATCCATGTTTAACACACAATGTCTCATTTTTGCTAGTTTTGCGCTCTATTACAAATAAGTGTTGAGCCAAGAAAAGTGATTTACTAGCACAAAAAAAATACAGCCATCTAAATGAACTGAAACTTCTGCGCTCATCAGCATATAGCAGTGCCTTCCTTTTTGCCAAATTTAAGTTTTCCTTTACCAAAACTATTGAGTTATATGGATGATATTATTTTTTATAGACGACATGTCTTTTAAATAAACACGATACAGTTCTGCAACACGTATGGAATTTCAAGCTTATTCCATTCTTGTTTTCGACTAAAAATTTCAGAACTTTTCAAAAAAAACAGCACACAATAGTAAAACGATAACTACAATTGAGAGAAAGAAGATGTTTTCAACAGCAAACTCAAATAAATCGTTTAGGATCAATCCATCTGAAGCATACCACACTTTACGAAAGTTTTAGCGCAAATTGTAAGACCATCCTCATTTTATAGAGCTCGTCGGGTTGACTGTAGCTGCACAAACCGCAGATTGGAGAGAAAAAGCTATTAGTTAAAAAAAGTTACTCACACCGAGTCCCATCCTACTTCAAAATTGGTACGGATGGTTTTAAATGAAAGATCATTTCAAATACTATGTATGCAAAGAAAAACCAGTTTGGCCCAAGTAGGGATTTTGAGATAAAGGACCTTCATGATCCAAGTTTTCCAGAAAATCTTACACGGTCAAAAATTATCCAAAAACTTTTCTAACCACATGATCGGACAAAGCGCTGAATTCTGAACAAAACGACATATTTCAGACATTTCTAGGATCTACCATCCAAAACTGGCATTAAAAATGGAATAAGTGCCCGAAAATACTCAGTTAGAAACTGTGAACAGGAATTTCACATATGTACATTTTGTAAAGCTTCTGGTTCACTCATCCCAAGTTGTAAAAATTTATACAACATCTCATTTTGTTCAGAATTGAATTCTCTATTCAACCATGTTGCCAAAAAATGTTTTGAATAAAGTTTAACTTTAAAAGGTTTTCAAGAAAAGTCGGCTCTTCTCTATCCCGAAACTCCTACAAAGACCAGATTGTTTATCTTTGCGTATATAGTATTTGTACTCGGCTTAAACGCGCGTGACGGAATTACATTTTTTCAACTTTTGGGCTCTGTTTCTCCTCAAATACTGAACAAAAGATGACGAAATTTTTATCAGAGATGTATGGTAGAACGCTTGGTTTGTGGTAAACATTTCGAATGCGTCGGTTAAGTAGAACGATTTTTATCAGCAAAATAGGTGTCGTGACGGAATTACATTACATTCTAGTGCTCTACAAACTTTGAAGAATGCTCTAAAACGAAACATATTCAGAAAGAAGGTCTAATATAGAAGTTGTAGTGAATGAAAAGAGCTTTCGAATCCTCTCTTTACTTTCACTCAAAAATGCTTAAATGAAAAGGAACAAGCGAAATGGCTCCGTGACCGAATTACATCATTGTTTTGCTTTCTTTTGCGGTGGGTTTTATTGTTATATTTCTACCGGTAAAAAAGACGTCTATAAACTTGATCTGCACGCAGCCTTATGCAATCGAGTACCCTCTATCAAACTAAGCAAAAAAGAACGGTGGGAGAAATGTTTTTGATCTTCGTAGAATTGCTCAAAAAAAGTACCATTTCGAATTCGGCAAAAACCAGCAAAAAGTTGTTTAGTGTGCAAAATGCGTTTTTTAAGATTGTTTCGACAAAGTCAATAGTGCATTTTGTAGAGAATTTAATTCTTTATCCACTAGAGATACTTGCTGAAGCTTTTTAAAACACTAAGTAGGTCAGAAAATTGAAATAAAAAAACTTTTAAATTTAAATTTGACTTTTCGATTTAAAAATTAGAGTTTCGTTCGTTTTAAAGTTGATATTCGTAATCAGCGTAAAAACTGCGTCTAATGATGTGCTTTTATGGCTGATTTGAGAGAAAAAATATTGCTCAACCCACCGCAGCTGAGGGTGACAGTATGCGTTTTAGCCGTTCTGCTCTTTCATTTAAAACCAGATGCATCAATTTTGAAGATGTAATGATGGTACGTTTCACGTGGTTTCTTACAGCAACAAACATATAATGCTAGAACAATTTTCGAAGCTCTTCTTCTAAATTCGATCTGCCGATCTTTCATAAGTTACACTTCTCCAACTACATATTCCCCATTTCCCATTGCACATGTTACTAGATCTGTCAATCTTATTTTTAACGCTGACAAACATATAATGTTAACTTCTATTTTAGACACCTCTTCTCATGTCAGTTAGTGTATCGAAGATTTTATCTTAAATCTACCTTGACAGAACTAATCGTTGCTTGTATTCGAGAAAATCAGGTAGCTTCTATCAAATAATAACTGAAGCTGACGTAAAACTAACTCTGAATAAATCACTGTTAACGAATACGGACAAATCTACCCATCGTTGTAACAGGCGTAAATAGAGCAAGACAAAGACAAAGGTATCATAGCCATACAACCTTATGAAAGCTATAACGAAAAGAAATAACGATGACTCATACTTAGCAAAGATCGTGTTTGAACTATGTTTATGAAACTGATCGCTTAGAATCAACTGTAAAATAACGAATAGTGACTGCTCTAGTACTCCTTAACCTTAGAAAACGATCCTATACTCAAACGACTTTATATATATATCTAGTTTTCAAATGAACTTTTATTCGTAACAGATGACGGCTCGTGCTTATACACCTGATCGCGCTCTAAATGCTCTAACATCTTCAATACTTGTTCTAAACTTTCTGTCCACTATCACATAACTTATTAAACGAGCAGAAATCCACTAGTTTTTGTCCATTATGATTTTTGCTTATCCACCGTGTGTTGTCGAACCATTTCCAGCGAGGTGTAATGTTGTTCGTCTCCTGCTCTTGCGTTAAAATCTCCGATTTATGCAATCATGTCTCGTACTGGCACTTTGTCAATCGTCATTTGGAATGATTTATAAAATTTGGAGCCTCTCTTTTTGACTTTGCATTAGAAGGGTTTATGGGAACATTTTGTTGTTGTTTTATCCATTCAGTCGACTCCGACTCTTGACGATCCGATGAATCAGACTTCTCCACGTGTTTCTGTTATGTACCATTGTGTTGAGTTGAGTTAATGTTAACTTTGTGTCTTCTTTTATTGTATCAATCCATCTTTTCTTTTGTCTTCCTCTGCGCCCATAGACCACAGTAATTGTCTCTGGACTCAGTTCACATCCAGGTCTCATGGTAACAATTCTCAAATCAACTGTCTCTCAAATTGAGTCAGAACCTATCCATCCGTTTGTCCTCCGTTTTCAAAGACAAATGGCAATACCATGGGCTAATCTTGTCTTTTTTTCCTTCCCTGAGTGTATGATAGTATAACTGCCATTTGCGAGATGCTTGAGCGATACATTTCTGTTTAACTCAATAATGACAGTTCAATCTGATATTCTCTCTTGTTGTTGTATAATCAATTTTCGTTTCACCTCACGAAAACATGATCGAATATTCCAAGAGCCAAAGAACACTGGCTTCTGGGTGTGCTGTGACAGTGGTATTGTCATACCTTTTCTCTTGGAGTTGTGTAATAATCATGTCTCTCTGGGCTGAACTTTGAGACGGACGAAATTGATAAATTGACAAAAGAAGTTGGTAGAAAATAATCAGAATAAATCATATCAGGACAGATAGTCCCATTGTGTAACAGTTTTTGAAATATGCCCACTTTGACAAGCCAAATTTCTACTGTATATCGTTGTACTTATTCGTTAATTTGCACTTTAATGCAGCAGCAGTGTGTAGATAATTCTGGTAATCTGAAACTTTAGCGATATGAAGGCTAGCCTTGGTGCCAATAATACTTATATAGTGTGGACTACTTCTTCATTAGATACCATGTTGATTATATCTGGTTTTATATGATAAACTGGAAGTCAGAACTGTCGAAATTATTTCCAGATTCAAAAAGCTCTGAAAATTATTATTCTCTTGTATTGAAATTGTACGAAAACTGCCACCCAAACTGCGCCTTCGACATTTCTCAAGAAGAATTCTTAGAAGAGCAAACGTCCATACAAAATAAGAAAATTCGAATTAAGTAGTATGAAGGGCTAATATAATTCTACGTTCGGCTGCAGCATCTTAAAAAAGTTGTTCAGTCGGCTGCTAAAAGTTTTTTTTGAAATTTTTCCATCGTCAGCGGCGGGGCTAATTACAATATAGCTTACTGTTTTTCTAATTTCTCATGACCTTTTTATTCCAGAACTTTTTTTATCGATGGAGGATAAAACCAGTTTGTACTTTTCGCATCGGCCGCGGCGAGGAGCTTCCCAAAATGTCGACGTCTTCTGCAGCAGCGACAAATCCAAAAATCGTAATTATTCATCCACAGCGGCAGTGACAGCGCCCTAGCGCACATGTCTAAACGTGCGTAGTCTTCGCTTATACACAGTATTTTGCACACAAAGGTCTGCATGATTTAACGCATGGTTACAAATGTGTTACCGGATGATGACGATGTAAGAACGTTTTAATATAGCCTCTTATAGAACAGATCATTTTTATTGAAAAGAAAGATATAATTTCCTTTTCCTTTCTCCTACGTGAAAACGTCCAGTTACAATACATACATAAATATAAGCCAGGTGTTTCTAATCATTCTTCATTCTCTTTTCGTCCACTTGAATCAATAATTTTGCATAGTAAAATAAAAGTGAAAGCGATAACATATTGTAACTAACTGAAATACCAATAATGAACATTTTTCCTGATTCGTCGATGACCGATGTTAAAGAAGAATATAGTGTTCAAATATTTGTACACAACAAGAAACAGCGTAAACGAAAGTGTTATGGTTGTCGTGTATATGGACACTATCGTGATGAATGTCCCATGAGGCAGTTGCAAGCAAATTCAACAGAAGATGTACGAATACCACCAAATATTAAATTAGAACATGAACAGGCAATTCTGAACACAACGACCACTTTAAATTATCCTACATGTGAACCAAATAGCAAATACTCTCAACCACGCACATTATTTGTTATAAAAAAAAATAATGCAAAGAGTGATGTACAAATTTATAAAACAATAATTATGGAGGAGTTTTGTGTACCACAAAATGAATACAAGAAAAAATTGAAACTTTTACTTGATGAAGCGGGTACCACTGTTGAACTGTAAATATCCTGATTATGATTGTGTCATTCATTTGTTGGTCCAGTTTTTCTTCTATAAAATAGTTGTTTCATTATGCCGACGCACTGAATATCTGCAAATATGACTTTTTCTGTTAAAAGTGCAGTTATACTCTTGCTTTTATAACGTTTATAATTCGTTAAGTATTTTTTGGTGTGCTGTCTCATTTTTGGAGACGTTTTATGTTAATCATGTAACAGATTAAGCCTGTCGATTTGATTTTTATACGTAGTTCATATCACAGACACGTCAATGTAACAGTTGTATGTAATATTCACATACAAAGTAAACAACACACCAATGGTGGATCTAGAACAAATTTTCGGTACTGAAGGATTTGTATAAAAGAGCAAGTTTATTATCTTTATAATAAAAACACAGTAGCCGAAAAGTTTTATGCGCTCGGCACGTTGCACAAGAAGGATAGTCTAATGGTATGAAATCAAAAATTTCGGCGATCGTGGCCGACAGCACCCTAAATTCGCCACCACAACATACAGATGTAAACAATATTTACATCAAACGACAGTGTAATGACTATTGAATCAAGAGATCAAATATATTACAAGTAGTTTAAGCTATCATAGGATAATCTAATATTTGTTAAAAAATTAAAATTATTTTTCAAAGATCAAATATATGAACTCTGGCTTCTAGTCACTTAGTGGGCATAAGAAATGCAAAGTTTTGATGCTGAGAGAGCGAGAGCGACTAGGATAGAACAGAAGGACAGCAAAGCACAAAACAACACTACATAGGTGTTGAAATCGAACGCTAAAACTATGAATTTTAAAGCGTCAATTCTATATTTGGACTAAATTATCCAAAAGTAAACTTGAGGTGTTCGATCCCTCATATTGTGTACTGCTATAGTGCGTTCTGCCCCTACTGCTCAATCCACACAGCTTATAATCTTAGGCATCAGATACGGTCACCCATCACCGTAGTAACCAAAACCTGTATACTCTGTGATGAATTAGAAGACATATAGAGTAGAGAGCGACAGATGATACAGTATCGAGAGAATGGAATGAGTATAGATCAGCACGTGGTTTCAGAGAGAGTGACTACATATGCAGAATAGAACAGCTGTATATATAATGTTAAACAGAAGAAAATGGATCGTTGTTAACTTACATCGGCTTGTCCAGCTAACGATCCCCTTTTTTCGCTCATTTTCAAAAAATTATTGCAATGAACCTACAAACTAATCTAAAATTACAACTACATTAGCTTATTTGTTCAAGGTCATGAAGTGAAATACCACGGTTTTCCAGAAAATCTGCTTAAACCTATTTTGAAAAATTTCGAGACTGCCATTCGAAAGAGCTTCGCTTCAAACCCTTAAACGCTAAGTTTTATCGAAATCGGCTCGGTGAATCATAACTTTTCTTTCAAAAACTTTTTCATGGTACACGCCCATTGCAGGAACTGTGGCTAATTGTGTGAAAGAATTGAAAAATGGCAGGCCGAAAACCATGTTTTCACTGTTTTTGTTAAGGAAATACTCATCACATGTTTCGATTAAGATATTAACCACTTCATGAACAAATAAAAAGTTG